AGAGCTTCACATATAGGGGGGGGGAGGCAGGAGAGGGGTGAGAAGGCACATCCATCAGTTTTACTCTTTCTTTAAGCATTTCCTACGATAGAGGTCACTGGGATTGACAGTTCTTCATTTTGGCCCATATTTGTTCTTACTTAACATCCACGTTGTGCAAAACCGCTGCAAGTTTAAATCCTACAGAGTAACAGAGTATTACAAGGGCTCAGTCTGCAGTAAAGAGAACAAGCCTCCTCCATATTTTTTTTTAGGATTACTGACAGACCAGAAATAAAGAGTTTTATCCAAATTATTTCCTGGAATGTATTAAGTGATCTAATGTTTAATTTCCCTTCCTACATCTATACCATCCTGGACAATTCACTGTACAAAACAGATTTGCCCCAAACACAATGTAATGGTTTCTAGTCCTTAAATTATTAACAGTTAGACTCTCAAGATAGATACAATCATGGAACCAAACTAAATTTTTACAGATCAGCAGTTGAATGTGCAAGTCCCGCTTTACTGCGTCAAGAAGCGAGGGATAATGTCAGATGGCCTCCTCCCGCCCCGCCCTACCCAGAAAAAAGGAATGCCTGCTCAGAATTGAGAGAAAAAAAAAGCCAGAATTCAGAAGACGGAATCAAGAAAAAAAATTCAAGTGACAACTTGAGAAGCCACAGTTAAGAGCTCAGTGTCTGCAGGATACTGGTGGCCCAGGAACTCTCTCATGCAAACAGAGAGGCGATAAATGACAGTGTGATTTCAGTGAAGGCTGCATCTGCGCTTTTTCCTTAGCTGCTTTTAATTATTTAGAATAAAATCTCAAGTATTTCTGTTATAAAAGCATTTAATTACATTCCATGTGTTTTTCCATAACCAAAATATCTTTTATAAGGCACATACATGTACACCTACTATCAGTTATAGCTGATACTGAAAAACCTGTCTTCCCAATTTAAAGAAAGAAGAAAAGAATATTTTGCCAAGCCTCATTGGCTAAAAGAGTTACTGTGGTTGTAAAAATTATGAAATGTCTTAAAATACGCAAGCTGCCTGCCTCTACTGTGTCGCAGCAGCCAGTAGGTCATTTTGCTATTAGAGCTGCGTAGTCGGTCAATAATGCCACAGGACAAATTGTCTTGTTTTACTGACGCAATTTCCCAAATTCAGAACTGTATGAAACTACACTTGTTTTCCTTCTCTGGACCCTTAAGCATTTGTTTACCATACAAACAGCTTAGTCCAAAATAGTATTAGCTATTGTGAAATGAGAATTTCAAAGAATAAACTCAATTTAGCTTTGCGTAGTAAATTTTAGACGCTTTGGGCCCCATGCCTGGTATGTTACTACTAAGCTTGAACCTACTGGAAACCTTTCAAGTTAATTCCTTTGGATAAGAAACAAAGTAATTATCTAGCTCTTTTAGTACTTTTCAGCAGTAAATCCAAGAAGTGCTTTACAAAAGGAGAAAAGAGGGGAGAGGGAGGGAGGGGAGCGGGAAAAAGAACTCACCCTCAAACCCCTGTACCCAACAGTAAACAATCAAGCTAGGAAAATGGGAGAGAAAAAAACATGACTTCTCTGAAGTCACCCAACAAGGCAATGCTTGAATAAATAAAACCCAGGTTTCAAAGTGCAGTCCAATACTACAAATGATTAGGTCTCAACTTGAATGACAGCAAGCTACATACAGCCACATACGATCTCTGTATTCAAAGAGAATTTAAGGGACAGCAAGCGATTTGTGTTGAATTACTACTTAGAAAGTGTTATCACCCAACTAGTGGGAAGGAACTGCTCAAGAATTTTAAAGTGACTGTAGCACAGGTGTTCCCAAAATCCTAGTTAAGTGTTTTAAGTCATGCCTCTACAGTGCTGGGGAACCTGAAAAGCAGTTCTAGATTTTATGAAGCTACAGAAGTGGCTCATATAGCAGAACATACTGTGTACAGGAGAATACTACCAACATTTGTTTTCTACTACAACCACCCTTGGAAGTGCAACTCTAGTTTCCTTTGATATACTTTCTACAACTATTAGTGATGAATGAATTTTATTCTTTCTAGCAATTAAAATCTATAGACACACAAACCACTGTTTCACATTTAATGGAATGTCAGAACTTTAACAATGTTGGCCTTCAAACAGTAGTTGAAGTCTGAATACATTAATCAACAGTATGCTTTTCAGTGGGGCCTAAGTTCTCAAAAGCCTTAAAAAAAAATTCCAAGCCTTACTTAAATAATGAAAACTACAAAAAAATAAATAAGGAATGCAAATTAACAGAATAGAAATTGGTGCTTCATCAGACCCCTAGCTGCTCATATCATAAATTGGAGAGTCAAAATATGGGGAATGGTTGTACTATTATTTTCATGCACAAATTATAATTACATGTAGTTTCAAAATCAAATTCTTTTTGGTCAGAAATTTGTACAAACTGAGCTTTTAAAAGTACAGTGAACTACAAAAAGATTAAATATGCAATTATAAAATATATTTATCCTAGGTCATAAGAATATAAAATGTTTATGTCCATGTCACTAGTACATTACACATTACACACATTTAAGGATAACTTTGCATTAATAATGTAAATGATACAACACTGTTTATTGCTTATGTCAGGCATGTAAATTTAAACCCAGCCTTCAGCAGCTAAAACCTTTGTGGTTCAGGGTTTGCTTAAGATCTGGTAGAACACCATTTTAAAAAGTGTATAAACAGTTGCAGCAAGTTTGTACCTGCTCATATAAACAAAAAACATCAACTTTGTTGGGGGGCAGCAGTTCATTTTTCTAAGTACCTGCAGTGCAAAGTCCTGAGATGTTGACATGTGATCAAGTTTGCATCACTTCTCTATTGTATGTAATGGTCTGTACCCATTCCAGGTGTAAGGAGTTTACTGCTTAAAGTCACACCCCTAGTCATTAACTTGCAGCAGAATGAGCTGCTGGAGCAGACAGGCTTACTGTTTACTTACAAGGAATGTTCTTGAAAATACATTTTCCAGCAAGAATAAGCGCCAACTAAAATCAGTGTACCAAACCCAATCTTAGTGAGAATAGGTTTCCAATATAACCACCTTTTTCTTTTTCTTTCAGTCTCATTTAGCTTCTGCTTCATCTGCTGCAGCTTCTGTGCTGTGTTTGCTTTTCTATCCTCTCGCAGTCGTTTTCGGACAGTACTTAAAGAAAGGAAAAAAAAAAAAAAAAGATAAATCGTAGAACAAGGAAGAAAGCTATTAAAGTAATAAAATAAACCTCTTCCCAACACACTCCCAACAGTTAACCAACCCACCAGCAGCATATGGCAGCAGGGTATAAAATCTAAACCAAGCAATCTTCACTCTGCTTTAACAACCTTTCAGGTCAGTGAAGCCCCATGAAGTACGTAAATGACATATGTAAAGCTCTAAGTGGTGCTTTGACCTATGCCTTCAACAGGGAACACAATTAGCTTAATTATCTGAGCTTAGAATTTCACTCCCATCAATGCCCCATTTGGTGGCTGAGATTTTTCGCAGGGAGGCTGCTTTTATATGCAATGTAAGATACTATGTGCAAACATTCACAGTATTTAAGCATGTGTCACCACTGAGGAGTTCACACTAGCCTCACTGATCCTAACCTACTCATATCTGCATAGGGACTTAATGCTGCTCATCTTAGGCTGTAAACCAATCAAGGCCATGGGCTAAAAATCAGTTGTGTGTGTTACACTTCATCAGGGCCACTCTGTAATTCTTGCCTCCAAAAGTACCCTCACCATCTGTAAGAAAGTGTCCCCCAACACAAGAAAACTAAACACCGTACTCATACCCATGCCCCCACCCCTGCTTTTGAGGGGCTCGTTCAAGCCTCTAACAAATCGCTGTCATTGTCTCTCAACATTCATCAAGACATGGAGAGATAATGCACTCAGCAGTCCATTCAGTAAATCATCTGTTATTTCAGAATTCCAGCCTATCTATGCTGCACAGCTGCATCTTGTCTCAGACTGGAGCCCTTTGGGGCAGACACTGCCTCCTCCCGTCATGAGTGGAGGGTGACCTCTGGCTTCAATGACACAATTTCAATCACCATACAGAAAGTGGTAGGTGATAAGAACTTGGTGTTTCTGAGGTATCATATATTTTTCCAAACAGAAGTTAGCATTGCATTTAAAAATCAGTATCGACTTATGCTGGGCACTTTTAGGATCTAATTCACACTGCACAAGAGTTCACAGTCTGCAGAAAAATGCTTTCAAGCATAAGGTTTAGCTGCTTCAATTAGAGACGTTTTTCTTCTCTTGACCTTTAAACAACAGAACTTTATCACAAGGAATAACTGAAGTTGTATTTTCAAAATAATTAAGACAGTCAAATACCACCTGTCCTTTTGGTCTACTGAAGAGAAATCTTTTAAGTTTTCTTATGATAAGAAAAGCATACAGTATTTCAGCCTTTTGAGAGAGTGTATCTGTCTTCTAAACAGTTTCTTCATCTTGCCTACCTTTCAATGTTTCCATCTGTGATATCTTGAACTTTAGTGGCCAGGTCAGTATTTATTTTCTCCATTTGATCTTTGTTCTCCAGGCCTATGCTGTTCCCATTGTACTTCTCTGTGGTTATTTTTGTTGGATGTGGAGGAGACTGCTCAGAACTTGGTGCTTGGTCCTCCTTAGAGAGCTCTTTCCACCGTTTCTGCAAACAAGGAGAACATATTTCAAATATTCCCCTAACACTGAAGGCCCTCTTTGCTCAAGAAGTCTTCCAACAGAACAGTCACAGAAGTAGATTAAAGAAACTACTAGATCAAGTAGAGGAAAAAAAAAATCTAGACGAAGAAATAATGTTAGGTGAAGATGCGTTTTTTCTAACAATAATCCCTTTTTTTATTTCTCTGGGAAGATGCAACTGTGAAGGTATGAGGCCACTATCTTCAGGGCTTGTACTGTCTGTCCACAGCAGCTCCACAATGAGGAAGCAACTTGTCTTGTATAATCCTGCACTGTCTAGCACTTTCCATTTCTCTCTACTCTCTATGTGCCTGTGCCGTTATCTTTCATGGCTCCAAAGGACCTTATGTGCAAGAACTGCCTAAAAAGAGAGAACTGGAAAAATTTGCAATGCCAGTAATAAAAAAAAATTGGGTTATTTATGCCAAAATCATAGACTACTATTTCACCTCGTGTTCCATTAGCCCAGAGAACTATAGCATCATAAAACAGATATTCACCTCATTTTGAGAAGTAATCTGAAATGAGATAGAAGGAGAAAAAAAAAAAATCAGAAGTAAAACTGGTTTGCATCTAGATCACTGCCCTGATGGGTAACTGTCCTAATGATGAACAGTCTGAAGGATTTCTTGCAAAAAAATTTCATGCAGAAGAAAACCTAGAAAGGTAAGAGGAAGGAAAAGAATTGCCCCTAAAAAACAGTTATTTTCTCACACAAACCAGCCAGCCTGTATAGAATACCTTGGGGGAAAAAAGTCAGTTAATTTTAAATGTCTGTGATAAGAAAGATGAATTGAAAATTGACTCTGCACAAAATGAGTGTTAGATTCTTGTCTGTGGAATGAATTTAAGACTGCTGGTCTAAACTAAATATCAAACTCAGAGCTACTTATAAATGAACTGCTGGCAGAATGATCTTTAACAGTGAACAGACTCCTCCACTGCAGAAGAGCTTCCAGTATAGATCTGAAATTCACAAAGGAAGTCTTCACCCAGAAGTCGCTTCACTTTAAGAGGTTTTTGTTGTTTTGTCTTAAGCAAACAAAAAAGACAAACCCCAAAAAGAGCCACTAACAAATGGAAATCCACTTAGCAGCTCCCTCTTACTGTCATGGAAAAAGGCCTTTTAGAAGACACAGCAGTGGCCATAAGAGACTTGCTGGCTAAGGTAAACATTGATTACATCTGGAGCGATAAACCACACAGGAAGAATGGAAATCAGAGGCAATTTTACTACTCTTGTCAAACAGAAGGAATTTCCCACCAAGAATTCTATTTTAAACATGTAATAACAATAGCTCAAATGGCTGGTAATTTTAAGTATCAATGACAAGACTATGTGAATGGCAAGACTGGTAAAATAATGTACAACTTGAAGCAGATAGACAAGGAGGACTGCATTGCTAAATTACCTTTGCCATTTTATGATAGACCTGCAACTTTACAAAAAAGAACAACAAAAATGTATCTCAGGAACTGAACTACTACACTGCATCAAATTAAGTCTGGAAGAAACAAAGAAGTGATAAAGTTTGATTTAAGATATACAACTGTCCTTAAAATTATAGCCAAAATGCCTGCGTAGGGGAGCTAAGACTTAGAGCCTGTATTGCCTCTTGGAATGCAAGGAAACAACAGAAAGGCATGTTAAGATGTTCAACTGACAAAATCAGGTGAATGTCAGACACAGCTTTTGGATTCACAAGTTTCAGTACAAAATTATAATATTCTTGTTCTCTGTTTGCAAAACACATCTACAGATCTAAGGAGTTCAACCATCTTTTCCTTCCAAAGCCACAAATTTGTTTTCCAGAGACCACTCATTTCAACAGATTTTTCTGAAAGAAACTGAAGCAATATACACTTATCTTTATTACAAAGGAATTAAAAACCACCTTGTTCCATGTCACCCATTATACAGTGCTGTACTATAATCAGGAAGCAAGTAATTGTTTCAGCTATGGCCCCATGCAGCAGCACACCAACCACATGCCTCTGCAGGGTTTCAGGGCAATCTGGGTGAGTATGATCCTTTGTTTCAGTCACTGGTGGAATCCCAGAGGGTCTAAATGAGAACGAGAGGATAGAGACTCCTCGCCTCCTGATACAAGTGTTGCAGTTGCAGCCACTAGATGTAAGCAAGTAAAGGTTCAAGCATATGTTGTGCTTGTCTGTACAGTTTACAGACTTCTGGAATCCATGAAGATGTCAGAGATGAACATTTGGGTATAGAGAAGCGTTCAGTGACTTCATGCCCTCCCCATCACCAGCAGAGAGAAGTAAACACTTCTCACACTCTGGACAGTATAACTGTTCCCTACAAGGGGAAAAAAATGATCTAGGTGACCTCTAAAGCAGAAATATTCCTATTAAGTACTGCCAATTGATTTTCTGCACATGACCCTGAGGCCTAAAGAGAAAAGCACCAGGACAACTGCCTGCACTGCAGAAAACACTGGTTTAGGAAAGATCATCTGAACAATCATAACAAAAGAAAAAAAAAAGAACAAATGAGAAGCATGTCTTCTTAGGCATTCTCTTAGTATTGAGAAATAACACACTTGAACCCAACAAGCAGTATTTCAAGTTGACAATGCTTCCTTGTATCCAGGAACAAGAAATCTTGTGATCTGGATGGGTAAGTGTGGGAGCCAGAACTGCTAAGTTTGGAGCATAGCTTTAAAAAAAAAAAAAAAAAAAGGCAGAAAAATTATTAGAGACAATACCCTCATACCACCAGAAACAGCTTCCAGAAAATAAAGAGGCTAAATTGCTGTTAGTGTTAGGATGAATCACGCAGTCTTCGAGGCCTATGGCAGCAGCACACTACCTAGGTGTTGATAAGTAGTTGTGCAAAATAATTTCTTTACACAGCAAGTAAGAAACATTCGTCAATGAGAAGAATTTGACAACTACCAGAACCACAGAAAAGAGGAAACGTGTTTTATTTTATCTGCTTCATTCATGATTTTACGAGATCAATATAAAAAAGCTCTAGCATGTGGAAGCAGAATTAAGTCTGTTTCGCAGCCTCTCCTCCCAGTTCTCCCTCTCACCTACCCCCAGCCATTTAAAATAGCTGTAGCTATTGTTACATCTACAAACCAAACCACCGTAATAAAACAGACTTGGTAATCTGTTTACCCCAAAACTCGTTCTATTTGGCTAGATTCTAACTGTAACACAAATTTTAAAAGATATGGAGGAAAAAGAAAATTCAACTTTACCAATAAACCTGATCTGTAGCATCAGGTAACTTTACCGTTAGGAAAATATATAACAAAGATCAACAAATCCTAAGAAGATCCTTGCTATCTTTTCAAAGCGATACTAGGCATTACTTTTGCTTTTCAGCAATATCAATGTAAGCTGCTTTTTTTTTTTTTTAGACATTAGTAAAAACAAGGGGTTTTTTGTTTCTTTTATTTAAAGCAGACAAATCCATAGGATTAGAAGTTTAGCTGATAGAAGGCGCTGATCAGATACTCTCTAACACCTTCTAGGCATCCACAGAAAAAGGCGCATTATTTAAATTCCACAAAGTTACATGTTTTAAAATAGTTTGGAGCTCATTCTTAACAACTGTAAGCAGTCTACTGTTTCTGTTTAAATACACAGAACTAAGCATTTACCTGTATAGTTGAATCCCCCATTATAAATTTTGCTCCTTCTATTACAGCCATATATGAAAATCTTAGTTGATCAGGAGTCTGAATAAGTCCCATCCGATATTTTCTCATATCCAGTAATACCTTCTTAATATCTACAGAAAATGGGTCTTTTTTCTCCATCTGTAAAGCAAATTACACCAAAAGCATCATTGCTAGTGATAGAGACAACATATAAAAAATAATTGCAAGTTAAAATGAGTCATAAAATTAAATCTAAAAATTTATTTCTTCATATTATATTTCCACTAATATATGAAATTAACATATCCAATGATATTTGAATTGTTTTTACAGGAAAAAATTTAACCATCTAATGAAAGCTTGTTATGAAAAAATCAATGATCATGTATTAACTAAATAAATCAGTACCCTAATATCAAGTCTTCAAATTGAGAAATTTAGATATGCTTGGTTTTATTCAGGGATGTATATGTACTTTGGAATAGGACTGTAAGACTCAGAACCATAAAGCTGAATGGAACAGCAATTTGGAATGGCTGATTGTGGCACAAGTTTCCTCATTTAAAGCAGAACCCCTAATCTGAGCAATGCACACACTTGTCCCCACACTACATTCATGGGCTGTTTTTAACCACACACCTGCACTTCTTGCAATGTTCACTTTAACTCATCTAATATTAAAGTATACTTACATCAAAATATACACCTATGTTTTTCAAAATGCAGAAAATACTGAAGAAGAAAATAAAAAATAATTTGAGAGGACCTAACCAAACCAGAAGATAAATGTCTTATATTTTAAATAAATCCTATTTCACTTAACCCTATGCTGTAATTTTCCCTATTACCAAGCACAGGCAAAAACAAAGAGTCTGTGTCTGGACTTTAAAATTAAAAAAAAGTATATCCATAGAGATTTTAAATATTATTTAATATTTAGAAGTTCACTCAAGTCATGAGGAATTATAGATGATGCAGTTCACCAAGTAAGCAAAAAACCTACTCATACATGTGGTACTGCAACTGGCTAACAAGCCCCAGCTCCCAGAGGGCAGCACAGCTAGGGAAACTGCCCCATCCTCCATTACACACTGCAGAAGATCCAGGAGTATGCCCAAGTTCTCATCTTAGTTCAGACACCAATTTTCTGTAACCTTAAGAAAAGGGGCCTGGCAGACCTGCAAGATATCCCATGTTCAGAGAAAAAGGCTTATATATTCACAAGCCTAACTTCAAGCTCATATTAGAAAAAAAAAAAAAAAAAAAAAAATCTCAGTCTTTCCTAAGTACATCTTACATAAAAGGAAAAGAATGCTTACTATTTACTTCCCAGAAAGCTGTGAAAATGTGTAATGTACTTCAAAATAGATTTGTAAATGTATTTCTAGAGCTGTGTTTTTAAACCACTGAAATACATGAAGGAAAAAAAAATGTATTATATCATAATTAAAGTTTTCACTGGCATGTTATTAACTTAAATGCTTTCAAAGCCTTCTGATCACAAAGCCCATATTGGGAAGAGAGGCAGGGTGTCAGAAGAAGGAAAGGGGTGACAGAGAAAATGACCAAACACTTACCAGAACAAGACAAGTGTCTACTAAAGAAAACGTGCCGGAACGTCCTATCCCTGCACTGCAGTGAACTACTGCAGGTCCGTGTTCAGGACTTAGTGAACCAGACTCTCTGACTTTAAACAGGAAGTTCAGGAATGAAGCTGGGGATTCAGGAACTCCAAAGTCTGGCCATGTTGTATAATGAAAATGAAAGATCATCCTGGACTCACCACTCTAGAAGTGAAAACAAATAAACAATACAACTAGAAAGTATTCTACTTTTGTTTAGTTAGCACACATTTCTCCTATCTGAATCAATAACTATTTTCTATTTAAACTTCCCATTTCAACAAACAATCCAATAACTTGCTTCAAGTTGGATGACAACCACCCTGAAACAGTTTTTCATCCAAGTTGGTAGTTTTCCCCTTTGCAGTTACTACCATACACATTCTTTCTTCTTCTCAAACTTTCAGTACTATATTTGGTTTGCTTTGCTACTTGTTCCCAAACATTCTTCTTTTGCTACCATTAATGAAGCTTAATGACTGACAGCAATTATTAGACTGCTAGCATTAATAAGACTGAAAAAAACTACCCGTCAGCATTGTAAACACTCTCCACTCTTGCTCAGAGCAAGTTTTAATATTGAAAGGTATTAGCATCTCCTTTATACAAACCACAGTACTGAGAAGAGCAGGAAGCTTTATGCAAAAAGGCCTATAAGAACCCATACAGCAAGACTTCTGCTGGACATACCCATTCTTTAGAAGTAATAAAGAAGGATTCCAAAACTGTGCAGTTGTTTTAGAACCATGCAACTCCTCTCCTAACACGACCAACTAACTGCAAGTATTGAAACGACAGTAAGAGAGTATGTACATATCCAAAAAGCTTTGATAACAAATTAGGATTTTATTTTTATGGAACTCACTTAAGACCTCCTGTTAAATGCTACTCCTTGCCACAGTGATTTTGAGACTACTTGATCACTGATTTAGCTCAGGAATTTTAGAAAGGTTCAGTTACTTTTATCCTCCCTCCATTTTATCTTATTTTCCACGTAGATTGAAACCTACACAAACCTCCAAAAAGTTGGAACACAAGAAGATTTAAAATATCAACGTATTCCAGGAAAGCTATTTTTCTTTTTCAGCAAGAGTATAAAATATAGCTACAAAATTCAAATAAATTCTACTGTTTTTCATCTGCTCAGTCTGTTTAAACTTCTTATGAGAGACAACTTACGAAACTCCTTTGTGAAACAAAAATAATCCAGTTCATGGTTACCACAGTAACAAAAATACTCTCCCATTTTGTCTTTTGCCTTCAACGCCTGATACTGCGAGACTGCCAACACTTTCACAGAAAAGTGGATATTAACATGACTCAAGCTACTCTCAAATGTACAGTTATCTTCCAGGAATATTTTGTCTCTCGGCTAAAAGCTCAACAAGGACAACAGAGTCTGATCCATCATACTGGGAAAATGAGTACACAGTAAGATTTCAAAAGGGGCAAAAAAAAAAATCTACCGAGACCTAAATTGTATAAATACACTGAGATTTCCTTTTATTTGTCTGAAGCAAAGCATTTTAAAAAGCTTGCATTTTCAACTGAGATCTTCTTACTGGTCTTCTGTACCTAGTTTTTCAATTAGTGAGTTAACTCACTAATCAAATGAAATGACCCATTTGTTTAAAAAACATGAAGAAGATATTTTTTTAAGAAATCTAGAAATTATAGAATTTTAAATAAGATAATACTTTTCAGCAATTTCCTCTAAGACAAACTCCTTTAAGACAAATAACTCATTGATTTACAAACAAAATTAAGAGGAAAACTGGAGAGATGAGCTAAATGCACATACTAGGTAAAGCAAAGGCTAAAGTTATTTCTTGTGAGTCTAGATGAACCTTAGAAGTGATAATGGATACAGTCTCCCTCAGGATTCTTAAACAGCATTCCAGATGAAAGCCTCCCTTACACCTAAAGGCGGCAAAAATGTCCTTATGTATAGAAAACAAAGGTGATCCGTAAGTTATTTGGTTTGGGTTGGTGTTTTTGGTTTGTTGGTTTTTGGGTTTTTTTTCAGATCCCATACTTAAACAAGCACTACCATCCTCTTCCTAAAAAAAAAAAAAACAGTAGTGCTTCAAGCACATGGTCAAGTGTCACCCTGCTCATACACTAATCTGAAAATAAGTATTTCTAACGGTGAGAGTTAACAATGTTGTTGTACATCTCATCCAGCTCTCATCCACAGAACTATTTTCTCTTCCACATGCTGTACGAAGGCTTTATCCATCCCACAGTTTTCCATCATTTCAGCTCATTTCAAAAATACCTAGTCTCTTCATTTTTCTTCATGGGTCCCATTTCAGTGCACCGGAACTGGCTGGTCTTCTTTGAACTAGCAGTTCCTAATCGTACAGACAAATCCCATTTGAGTATTTCAAACCTCCCACATTTTCTCTCTTAAACAGAATGGCTCTTTCAAGTGGTGCTTGGCAGTCAAGCTGCACAGCTGAAATACTGTCTTTGTGTGAATATCTGTACCACCCTTTCTTAAAGAACTCCCCTGTCACTGAGCCATGCACCACAGCTATCACTTACGTGAAGTGATGCAGGACTGTAACAAAAAAACATTGGGGCTCACTAAAAATGCACAACTGTTGATGGAGAGAAATTCAATTTTAAATAACAACTGATTTTATTGAAAATATTATCAGGAAACTAGATATTTTTTTAAAAGAAAAAAGCTAGACTTCAAGACTCAGGCAGTAATATAAACTGTATATATCTTATACACAGGGAACACATTTCTGCATGATAACTGAAGACCAGCTTATTCTATGGTAACTTCAAAATACTCTTGCAAGATTTATTCCCTAAGACTAGTCACCAAAAAACCTCATTTTAAGAATCCTTGAATAATCATGGGACATTTAAACAACTTTTCAAGAAAATGAATCAAACCATTCTAGTGAAAGTTTCACAAACTACTGAGGTAAGCTTTTGGTAAATAACCAACATAGCTAAAACAGATAAACTCAGAAAGTTACCACCGCACTGCACAGTTCTCCACTGACTGCTGGTAACACTAACAGCATGACAAAAGGATGATCAAACCACAAGCCCTGCTCCAGGTTACAAGCAGACACTGACATGAGGACTTCTGCAGAATAACATAATGCCACTAGATACACTTTCATCAAAACAAGCCCTTGTCATAACCTTTTTAACGGTGACTATTCAATCACTCAAAACAAAAAAGGTATCAAAATCTCAGAACAACTTTAGGTTGTTCAGTCACCCAAGAGTATGAACATCAATGAAATTTATAAAATTTATAAAAGCCTTCATTTCATAGTTTGAAATGGTCTAACATAGAAAGGTGTAAAATACACCTACAACCCCATAATGGTCCTGTATTTAATGACAATGCCTTAAGTGCATTAACAACTAATTTGATCATATAAAAATGAGAAGACATGCTGTAAGGGCCATATTCTAAGCACTGAGATTCAAAATCTTAAATCAACTTTTACCACAACCTCTTCTATTTATTCATTCTAGTGCCTGACAAAACTATTTTTAAAATGTACATAAAAATTACAATGAGGATAATGGGGCCAAATAATTCTCACAAACATTATGGGGTTTTTTTAATAATTAGTGTAAGTTATTAAAGTAAACGTGGTAATAGTTATGCCTATTGAATCTGCAAAACACTTGACATTCAAGAGAGTCTGGGTTCTCCTTTCCTGTTAGACACCAATACCTTTCCCTAACAATTCAGTCCTATTTCTGTGGCCAAAGACCAAAATTAATCCCTGTTCAGTGTGACAAAGTGATATGAGGACATCCCACAAGTTTAAAAGCTAGTGTATGCCATGTTTCAGAAATCCCTTCAAAACACTCCAGGAATTACATACATATACACATCCATATACAACCAGATCCCAGAACATCGCCTGCCATTGGACTGCTCGCCTCCACAAACTAAAAGATCTTCTCAGTATGTTTAAAATGTTGGACACTATAAACTAGGAGCAAAGCAGATCTCATCCTCTTGCACTACACTAACTCTTCCTGGTTTATCCACAGGATCAGACAGTGAGGGCCAATAAACAGTCTTGTGTCACTTAATCTGACAGCAATGGCCACACAGAGGCTTGGTACTATGTCAAAAATTCATTCTGCTAAAGGGATTTTCTAAATATTTGCTATTTGCAGAGGACTCAAGATTCCACTTGAGGTTTATTAATGGGTCCTTACTCTAAAGTATCATACCACCAGTGTCACATCAAATCTAGTTCTAATTTCTTCTGGTCCTTTCTCCTCCAGCAAATATTTTCTTTGTGAACCTCTCCTTCGCCGCTTTATTCTTATTTCTAGGAACTCAGTCTGAGATACATTTATCAAGGTTCCTCCAGCAATTTCAATTCCTTTCCACTGCCTCATTTCCTCATCCAGTCAACCCCTCGTTTCCCTCAAGTACTAATGCTCATTTGCCCTTCCATAGCTTCCCTGAATTCCCCAGTACCATCAACCTACTGGGGTTTTGTTTATAAGCATTAATTGTGTGTCACATTGTATCTTTCTCCAGGCTATGTGGGTTGCCACATCAGCAATTACTGAAAACGAAAGTTTTCTTTCTCTTAAGACCAGTACTCACACTTGTGACAAGAAAAGCTAAAAGCAGCAAAGAATAATATAAAAGTACATATTCAGCACAAAGTGGAGTCTTCCAGAAGTTAGCTGTCAATATCTAACAATTCTCCCATAATATTGTCACAAAACTTAGCAACCCCAGCCAGTAAGGTTATTTTACAGATTTAACAAAACGCTCTCATAAACACCTATCATTTCTCCAGTATACTGGGAGACTTTGATTCAAATCACAGATATGCAATAGCTTCACATATAAATGATTAAGAATTTGTAACATGAGCACAGTATTTCCCTTCTACCCTTATTTTCCAGCAGAGGCAAGGGTTTGTGGCAGCCTTCACAGTCAATCTTTCCTCAAGGAGCATTCTGAGCCTCAGCAATTACAGCAGAAAGCAGCCATCAACTTTCAGAAAAGCTGACGACTGACACCAGCAAAACAATGGAGGATACACAATGAACCATGATGGAAAGGCAGTTTCAAATTTCTGTATTCTAAAATGCAGACTGGGTCAGGCAAAAAATAAGGAAATTCCACAATAATCACTAGCAAGGCAAAAGCACATTAGAAGTATTTTCAAAACTTTTGGAAAAACACCAATAAACACCATCTCCTCTCCAAGGCTTTATTGGACTACACTAGCTTTAACAGCAAAAACAAATGTTTGCCTAGAACAGATAGAAACAAATCAAACCACCAAATGCCTTGATCTAATCCTAAAAAACAAACGTTCCCCCCCCTCCCCCCTTCTAATTGCTTTTTAGCAAAACTAAAACACCACCAACAAAAACAACCAAATATTCCGAGATTGCTTCACTGGTAACAACATTAAACAAGCACTTTACTCTTCATACGTATGTATTTTGCTTATGTATTAGAGAGATTTGTTGCAGTAACACAGACTTATACTTGAGTTCAGAATGGTTGCAGAATAAAGGCAATTCTAGTTCTGTTTTCAAGGAACTACTAAAATTTCTTAACTATTCTTGGAATTCAGAGTATATTTTGTTCATGAGTCATCTTATATTCCAGGCGTCAAGTGGCTAAAGGTCTTACTATGCCTCCACCAAAGTCCCCTCCAGAGTAACTTGTATAAACATAGTGAAGCTCACATTTCAAGTTACTTCGAGTACTCAGTTCCCACAAGTTTTATGGTTTAATTATCAAATTCTTACAGAGGGCTGCACTTAACATTCACAGTGTTATTCTGGAAACTATGTAGTTTTTCTGTTTGAGTAACCAAGTAGGTTCTATTTCTTGTAGCTGTTTTATGTAAAAAAATATTGTTTGGAGTTAATATTTGTGGAGCCTTATAGGAGTACTAGGGCACTAAAATAAAAATTCACCACAGTAAGTTTGCTAAGTATTTGTGAAACTGATTTACATGACATACAAGAAACTCTGTACAGTGCTGACAGGCTTGTGTTACCAGTCCAAAGCAAACCCAGAAATTTAAGTGCTCAATAGCTCCAACTCAAAAGCCTGCTATCATGTATGTTGTGCTGTTCAAGGGATCTCTGCCTTTTGCAGCTAATGTTATGTCCAAACATACACATATCATGGAAACTGCATACTTTGAAAATACTAAGTTTAAGATCAGGGGCCAACATCAGCCAGACAATTCCACGAAGAAGCCTTTTCAGTAGTTTGGAAAACCTGCCTCAGCTTTCCAAAAGGAGTTATTCCTTCTCAGGAACTAGCTTGCAAGCACTAGTCCTCTTTTCTTTGCCTTTGCTGTCAATAAACAAACAACTAAATAGAAATTCTTCAGGTCAGTAGGACAGAATTTCATAAAGCTCTTATATTGAATAGACCAAGGAACAACATGCCAAGTTTTATCATGTTGATCTCGTGAGGGAGGTTTCAAAGTAACAAACATTATCTTGAAGTACCATTAATAGTTACTATAAATTCAAATTATTCTGACCAAATATATCGGTTTAGTTGTATAAAACAACATGCAAAGGAACACCTTCAAGCTTTCCTTTTCCAAATCCACTGACAAGACAACCTTGAATAAAACTTGCCATACTAGCATTTTCAATTAATATAAGGCAAGGTTTATAGGGAGAGAGAATATCTTACAAGACATAGCTGGAACAAACAGACAAGCTCTTCAATCCTGTCTTCAGCTCTGAAACAGAAGCAGCAAATTCCAACCCAAGCTCAGGCCAGGAACATTTTTTTTGAGCTTAACTTGATTAAATTGTCAAAGTGCTTAATTTTTAAGAGAAAAGGATGGTTGGTCCTGTGGAGCAAAACGGGAGGTAAGCAAGAGGAGATAAGTTACCTATCCACAGGTGGTAATCACCCCTCCCCCCCCAAACTTAAGATAGTTGGACTGAATTACATGGAAAACTAAAGTTCCATTAAAAAACAGTAATTACTGAGTCTGATTTCTGACATTCAGAAGAAATCAGAATCTTCAACTCCTGGGTTCTTCCTTTTAGGGTATTTCTTACAGGTCCTCTTAGAATCACCACTACCATCAACATGTAACAATTCAGCATGTTAAGGTACTGCCAAATGGAAAATACAAGTATAAAAATGCTGAAGCTGTTATCTGTTTTAATGTATAGATTAACTCAGGTCTAACTCACTTGCTTATATGCCATACATACATTTCAACATCATCAGAAGCACAGTGCATTAAAATTTTCAGTCTAAAAGCTCAAACAAACCTGTAGTGACAATATGCTAAAGAGTTTTTCATTATATACTTAGACCCAGGAATATATGAGCTACACAGACTGAGAAAAGCTTACGTTGATATTTTCTAATTGCAGTAGATGTACTGTGTAATAGGATTTGACGTCTTCAGATACTAGCCTCACACAGAAACCTGTTTCACTGAATGTCATAACTTCCTCTTCTTTTGTTGGCCAGTATTGTGCACACTTCACCTAATTTATTTTGGAAAAAAAAAAAAAAAAGAGAAGAAAAAAAGAAGGAGGAAAAAAGAAAGAAAGTTAAGTATCCTAGTATCTTGGGCTTTGCATGAGCAGGTTCTGAGATCCTATTATTCAATACAGTAAACTCAAGTACCTGCTCCCAGTCTGGGGAATTCTCAAAGTCGATAATGTTTACAGCCAAGTTAGTACAACTGTTTTACTGGCTATTACGCATAGCTGATTTATCTCTTTATGCTTTCTTTCATCACAGGGCTAGCATCTTTTCCCATATACCTTGACCATTCTACCTCTACCCTCTCTAGTTCTCTACAATGAACAGAGATCTTTACTCAGTTATTTCAACATTTTCCCCCCTCCATTTCTGATGTGCACACCTACACATTTACGTAGCTGATGTAACACATCCAGTTTTACCAAGCCTTTCTGAACACTGGAAGATTCTAGTGAACAAAAGAACAAGCAATGCAAAACCGTTCCCCATCTGTATTCCCCTTGCCCTGCACTCAAACCTTCTGAAGGAGAATTTTTGCATAAGAAAATAAGTGACTAGTTAAATCTCTTTCACTAACAAATCTACTCTGAAGAAAAACCATAAACCTCAAATGACACACATTTATAATTAAAATCTAATGATTTTAGGCACATTAGCAGAAAAACTACTTCATAACAGAAGATGCATGCACTCTGCAGGTATACCAACAGCTGTAAAGAATCAAAAATAACTAGATGAGTTTGACAGTTGCAGAACAGCAGCTTGTCTTCATTGTTACAAACAAGATAACTACATAACAAATAGACTGCTCTGTTAGATTTAGAAGAAATAATCTAAAGATACCAAATTTTGTGTCTTAGCTCCATCACTTTCATGTTATATTAAATACATGTTATGCTGTATATCAGTGAGAAAGTGTTAGTCCGTTTAACAATCAAATATTGTTCAACTGTATTAAAATTATGTGGCTTACTTTACAGCTTTAGGCCTAGTATTACTTACCGATTCTTTTTCAACAGTTCTGTTCAGCATAACAACTGCTTTGGTTTGCTGTTGCCACACCATTAGCCAGAAATGACAACATGTATTAGGTAGTGGACCCTGTGTAGTAAAGAAAAAAAAAATGTGTGTGAGAACATACAGGCAAAGCAGTGTTTGAACACAGTTAATAGTTCACCGTGTGGAACAGGAAAAAGTCTTCCTCTGAAGAGTTTAAACAAATTATTAATAGAATTATAGGAATGACAAGCAAGAAAGTAAAGTACTGGAATGATCTGTGCAGTGTATTAAGTGTTTTGTTTTTTCTAAAAACCAAACAACAAAACAGTAAGAACTCAGGGAAGGGATGTTTCAGTTTGGGCATCAATACTATTGTGCTGTTAAAAGAAAAGCTACTGCGGGCACGCTCAAAAAGCACAAGATGAAATAAGGGGTAGAAGTATTGTTGCAACCTATTTCCAAAAGGTCTGAAGAGAAATAAATACTTGAAACGCTTTATATGCGGTAAATTATTCATACTTAAATATTCTCTTTAGCTTTTTCTTAAAATATCAAAATAATGTGTCCACAACTAGATCAAACAGGCAGCTAGTATGAGATATATATGTATATATATAATTCCCAGAGACAAGGAACCATCCAAATACAATTACCACTGTACAAACTCCCCTCCCTCAGATTCTCAATCCCTATAACCTAGTAACTGGTACTACTTACCTGCGTTAAAATATAGTATCTCTGGGCTTCTTCTATGACCACTAGGCTGGCATTGATATAGTCATTCTCAGTATTCTGCAGTTTTACACGACTATGATCATCTAAAATTCAAAGAAAATTAAGAATTAATGATGCATCCATCTTGATGAATACTCTCTAACAGGCAAGTTTAGGTCTGACAAGCATTAGAAATCAAGTTCTGCAGTACTAACCAAATGACAAACTATAAATATACATGAAACTAATTTTTCACGTAACTCTGATAACTGCCTGTCTCATTCTTCCCTCAGCACTCCATCAGGGTAATTTCAGGCAGCTATTAACAGAAGCTGCTCAAAAAACTGGTATACCCAGTTTTCTTTAAAAAACAACCAAACAAAATAACCCTCCCACACATGCCAAAGATGCTCACTGCCATCCCTCAACAGCTGCATTTCCTTAATACAACAGCACCACAACCCACACCAGGCAGCACTCTGTTCTATCACACCAGATCACTCCACTGCATGGTTTCCTTTAAGTTCAGAATTCCAAGATTTTTGGTGAACTGAAGTTTCATGAGTTGTGGTAGAACCATGAACACAGACAGCTAGGCAAAAAATTAAAAAATCTACTTGCAATAATTCAAACCAAGATTTAATCAATTTACCTTCCCCTGTAATTTATTGTTTAATACTACACAAATCAAAAATACTAATGGAAGGGCACATGCAATAATGTACCTACTTAACAAATCTTCCAATTAAACGAAATCTAACCTAATTACTGAGTTTCAGTCTCATCATTACACAGGCAAGACAGAAGATTCCCCTATTTAGGGCAGAGGCAAGAAAAGGACTCCATGTAAAATTATACCTTGTATATGAGAAAGATTAACAGACTGTCATACTGAATCACTGTAATAAAAGTTACTGCGGCTGTTTCTAGAACCTTTCAGTATCCGATTTATCACACTCTAGGAGACATTTAGGTAATGAGACTTGTTCACAGTAGGTAATCCTTCAGCCATTTATTAGAACTGTATTAAATAAACAGCATTTTTAGTTTAGAATTTGTACACAACTGCATGCCACTAAATCAGATCCAACTGACTGCAAACCTCCATGAAGCTCAACTGCCCAGACTGTGTCTGAGAAGAATAAATAAAAACCAGCAAACTAAAATGAATTTAAGCGACTTCAACCCATCTCAGGAAGAGATGGAAAATATTCCATAAAAAGCTGACAGAGCTGAGAGCGAATTATGCTGTAATGCCAGTTTTTAACCTATGTTCACCAGGTCTAACTCACAAAACTCATTTGGGGTGCAGACTGATGGCACAGCTGCTGTTAAAATGCCCACTTTTCCCTGTCCCATTCCTGCACCAAAAGGCTAACCTCCTTTTGGCAAACATCTTGGGAAATTAACAAAGTCCATGAGTTTTGACAGAAGCAACTACCCAGTATCACATTCAGTGCAGCTATGATAGCTGAACTCTGATTAAGTCCCTGTATCACAGCCAGTCCCTCCAGCACAAGGCTTATCTAAGAAATTCATGAATATGACCCAGATAGACAAAAAGCTGAGGAATCAAGAAACAGCTACTGAATTAGACTCTTGTTGCTCTATGGACCACTCATGATTTTATAAATACTTTCCATATGTTTGAAAACCTGGGAGAAGTACACTTACTAGCTCTTGATTTGCTATTATACTCTCCCTCATCTATCTGCTATTGACAACTGTCAGAAAGGATCTTGCTGGATTCAAAGAAAGAAGTCAACAGCAAATTACTACTTTTTTTGGTTTGTTTTATTAAGGACTGAGATTTGGGTTGTTATCCTACCTCCTTTAGCTGCTAGCTTTTATATGCAGTCACATACAAACGTGCAGAGAACAGAAATACACTGAAAACCTATTTTTACTATAAAAGTATGAGAAAGTTACTGGTTTAGTCTGTTTTCATTAGCATTCCAGCTGTAAGGCAACACCATCTTGACTTTCAGGAGTCTTAAAACTATTTATGATACATCTGTATGAAGAAAAAATATTATCAAAGCCAAGACACAGTAAAATTAAGGCACATGTGCATTTTAAAGTAAAATATACCTCCTTCTATTATTTTGTCTGGATAGGAAAGTGTTACTCTTTCCTTTCATGTATCAATTTATCTGAAATGTTTCTACTGGAGAGAAACCAAGACCTTTGTAAATATTACATGTCATTTGCCAACAGGAAAAACTTAAGATCTTGTTATAGTAAATCACACATACCGGTACTAGTGTTCTCGGAAAGATGACGTAAGCAGGCACTGTTAACAGTTCAATCACCCAGCAGCAGCTGCTGTATTGCTGCCAGTAGGAGATAACTGCCAGGCCCTAATGAGGTTTCCTCCTGTAATCCTTACACACATTTTCAGCCTCATTTTTTCCTTCTTATACATTCTGCTTTGTAAACACGACAAATAAAATTCTGAAGGTTTTTTTAAAGCCCCTTTAACAACTCATTCTATGCACGGACAGCCTCCCTCCTCCTCCCCAACAAAACCAGAAGCGATCCTACAACCCCACTGGCATACACCCCATAGGACAAAGAAAGCCACTAGAATATATTGATTTCCCTTCTTTCAAGGGAAAAGGTTCCCAAAGGACACAATGACCTAGAAGCCTCATCCAAGCCCTGTCTTGTTCTGCTGAATTGAATGAAGAAAGCCAACTTTTGACAGTGAGTTAGCTGTAACATATTTCCCATATGTAAATCATTTCCAGTTACAAAGTACTTCAGATTTATAGGAATGATAAACGTATCTTAAATCTTATCTTAAAGATTTATCTTAAATGTTGCCATGCCCACAACAGCTAAAATACAGTACTCATTTTCTGAAGTGCTAATTCCCCTATTTCAACAAACTGTGCAGCCTGAAAAGGAAGTAGAAACCTTAAAACTGCTTCTCGTTCTGGCTCCTGCACTAAGAAAACTACTCTCAAAATGACCCTGTCTCAGATAAGCAGACTCTTATTACCCACTCCAAGTGAAACCTTGTCCCACTCATATCACTGACAACACTCCCAGGGTCTCAAATAAGACCTAGACTTCACATTACACATCAATTTACACACTCCCTGCTAAAAAGAAAATGACATAGCCAGTTAAAACTGAGATATGAAGAAATTAGCATTTTACATCATAACGGTTCTTGCAGCCGGTTAAGGAAAGGTTTTTAGTCTGAAAACAACTGTGTTTCTAGAAGTGAAACCACTGTATAACTTTAAAATTATCTTTTATCCAAGAGATATCTCTCTCTGGCTCCCCAAACACAGAGCTATTAACAACAAAGGAGGGTGAAATGCTATTTAGTGGATTAAAGAAATTAATAAGTAAAACATGTAGCCATAAGCCATCCCAATGACCCAGCCTGACCCTTTCCCGTCTACCAGCAAATCCCCTTCTTTTCACTAATCTAAATCTAGTCTATCTGAGCTGCTAAATTATTCAAATTACAATATTCTATCACTAGACTTAGAGTCTCAAGTTTCAGAGGTAGCTCAAGGCAAAGGAAAGACAAATTGACATTTTTCCACCCTGTCACTGGTTGTACGCAATAAATACCATCATATCAATCATGGCCTAACTCCTAACTGAAATGTATTCATATGGAAATACGTACATGTGGAGTTTGTTTATTTATACCATGTTTCTGGTAACAAGGTGTTTTAGAGAATCATTAGGTAACATCATAAAAATCATCAATTTCAGCTTCTAATATGGACGACAAGAAGGGCAGTAGGCTTATTTTGGACAGAACATCTCCCTGTTCTTAGCACATATGCTCAAAACACAGGACAGAAAAGGAACATTTTCGCAATTATTATTAATCAGCACTACATGGAAAACCATCCACATCAGCTCCAATTCTGTTCCCTGTAAAGCACAATAATCTTCACATTCCTCTCTCCCTGGTATATACTCCAGGAAAACTATAAGCCAACGGTTTAAATGTCCAACACAAAGTCTAATGGGCACAGGAAGAAAACAAAACAACTGCCTCTTAAGATCCTCCAACAGCAACATGATCTGTCAGGCAAAAATGTTCAGATTACCTAAGATATTGAGCGACACACCACATTACAAACGAAGGCTAAAGATAAAATTGTGTAAACCCCCCATCTACCCTCAAAAAAAAAAAAAAAAAAAAAAAAAAAAAATCCTGCCAATTTTGCCAAGGGGATTTCCTTCTTGCCTCTCAATCTGGGAACACAGTAAGCAGATCTCTAAAGGTGTTTACAGTCAACCTGAGACACTAGACTCCTCTGATGTCAAGTAAGGATAAGATTTAGAAGGAAAGTAACAACAGAAATCTTAGAGCTTCATTAAAGTTATCAATAAAAAATAATAACCTCACAAGTGATTTTCCTCTCTTAACCATGTTTTCTGAGAAATGGTTTCATCTGTCAGGAAATGACTGGCTGTCAAACCAAACCTATTTCAGATTAACTTCCTGTTTCAATAGTACTACGTAGCCAAAATATTCCTCTCCCTATTCGAGACTAATACCAAACCGTTAAGACTGCTATTTTCTTTGGCTAGGCAGTAACTCTTGAGGGCTTTTACCCAACCAAACTTATACACATCATAGCTCTTCAGCCAACAAAACTGGACACAAAAATATTTATGAAACTGGAGACAATGTGAAACTCAAATGCAATGGGTAAAGATGATTAGCCTTTCCCAGATAACTTTAATCAACTTTTACCTAGAAATATATGTAATGGACACAAACTGGTTTCAGTGTATTGGTGCTGTGTATTATGGTTGAAATGGGGAAACCCAACCTTTCTTTGCATTTTTTCCTGCACTTGTAATTGACATCTTTTCTGCAAGACAGAATAATCTTTGCATTTCCTCTTGTAAACATACCACCTCAGGTTTTAGACTGGATAGATCTTAAGTTTAACCGCTAGTTCTGAAGGCCTTTGACTATCAGAGAATATTAGTATTATCACACATTTTTCATTTAAACACTGTTAAAGAGCAATAAAATTTGCAAAGTGAAGGACCAAGATGTTAAGATTGTGTAAGACTGAACTGTCTTGCATTTCCGCAACACCAGTTCCTTGCAAACATACACCATGAGTAGACGTGTTCACCATTAGATGTTCGCCATGTCATGCATGGCTTTTAGTCCCGCTGCTTTGAAAATTTAGGTACTGATATATTGTAATGTTATTTATCATATATTCCCTCCCAGGTCTCTTTCTCCTCCCAACTCTCACCATTCTTATAGAAACAATTACGAACTCTATTTGAAAACACAGATGTAAAATTCACAGGAATTAGTTCAAACACAGTGTTTTGTTCTGTTCTCATACAGCCTTGCTGCTCCTAGTGCCCAGTTCTGCAGGCTCCCTTAGTGGCCCAATTCAAACCTTCTTTCCTTCATAAATGCTAAAAACTGAGACATGCTTCAAAGTTCATCATCTTAGTTCAGTCATCACATTATACTTCACATCAACTAGCATGTAACGACTAACCTTTTCCTAAGCCCAGCTACTACTTCAAGATTAGATTTTATGTAACTGTCTCTGCTCTTGCACAGCAATCAGGGATTAATACAATCACATAAATAATTTTCTCCTGCCTAAATGAGCATTTCAGAAGCAGGCTTTGCCGTGACCAAGGCAGAGGTGTTTGGTGCTCTTTACTGTTGTAAAAGGCATGCTATGATTAAGGAAAATTTTGAGCTCAAAAAAACTACAGGACATCAATGCAAGTCACACCTTTAAGATATTACTGCAAGCATTATTAGATGCTACTTAAAGAATGCAATGTATTGTTTATTTATTTTAGAAACACTCTGTTTAAGAAGAAAGGAAAATGATGAAAATGTTGAAGGTAAGCTGCTGTTCTCTTTGCAGTAGTGCCTAAGTAATGAAAAATCCATAGATGAGAGAAATGGTAAATGCATGAATACAGCTTTTGCCACACAATCTGTATAGGATATTGGACCCAGGAACAGAACTTGGGTCTCACGGATTCAAATCCAATCTCCTGCTTTGTCTTCTTCCAACCCTCATCCCAATTTAGGTATGAAACAGTGAATAAAACACGATCTACTTTACCACCAGTAAGATGTTAACGCCGTGCTGTTCACAGGACAGCAAACCTGGGACACGTAAGCACCTCTGCACAGATCAACAAAGGCCCAGCAAAGGCCCATCTCCGTTTGCGGAGCATACAGCGGAAGTTGTTAAGCTTTGACTCACTTGAGGTATCTTCTTCAGAGCTGTAGAGTTCTCAAACAGACCTTATGGGGGAATGCCATGCAGACACAGCAAAGAGGTTGCACACTGAACTCTTTCTAAGTTCCATTTCACCAGAGTGCAGTACCAAGATTCAGCATTAAGCCAGACTAGATCCATGTGGTGCGAATACGCTGTGCCAGTTAGTGTTCTGGCAGCAGCCTGGTGAGCAGCACACAGCACTGCATCCGACCAACGTGACTCAATCCGAGACTCTTTCCGTGTCATTTTGAGAAGTGCTAGGCACATGCTGTTACCACAACTTTCAACTGGAAACAAGGAGTTCAGCACTTCTCCAAATCTTACAATAGGTATTCAGATTAAACTCTCAAACAAAAAGCCCCAACAGACCAGCAACACTCCAAAAATGCTAGATCCAGTAACATGAAGGCTTTTATGAGCCTTTGGTGCTCTGGGAAACTTCATACTAAAGAACATGCAAATGTTTAACCTGTTCCAACTTCAATATTTTGTAGAAAAATTAAGACTGTTCTGAATTTTTTTCCTAGTCCTTTTGAAAGTGATTTATGATAGCTTTCGCCAGCTGTAACTACATATTGGTAATCTTTTATTCACATGTTTTTTATAATGATTTTGGATTACATTTTCTAAAGTAAACACTGAAACAAGTCCACAACACCTCAGTACCAAAGAAGCTGGTAAAAAAACCCCCATGTCTTCACCTCAGATGCAAGATCATTATGTCACAAAGATCATTTTACAGCAGTTAGTAAAATACAAAGCACTCCATACCATATCTATTCTCACTGAGAAAATTAAAAGAACTTCATGCATGCATTCTTCTAAACAGACAAAAATAACAAAATCTCAATTATTTTTTAAAGCAACAGTAGAAATCGTTGGCATTTATTCACACAATCTTATAAATGTGCAGAATCACTTAGCTCAAAAGGAAACTGTGATAGTCAAGGCTTATTAACTTCAGTGCTCAGCAGATATTCATTTTTTAATGACAGATAAAGCAATGTTAAACAAATAATTTCCTCAGGAGAAAAATATCTTTATTACTTTGCAGCTCACAAACATTTATCTATACACTAATAACTATGATTTGCAATCATCTCTCATTCACCATTCAGAACAATGGAGTTTAGCCAGTAGATTCTTCTCTCTCTTATACACATTGGTGTATGTGTTGTGAAAAACACATTTATCATACAATACATGCCTACAGAAATAAACAAAATCCAAAACTGACAGTGACCCTGATTTATTAGCTACAGTGTTTAAAAGTAGACTGAGTAAGCAAAAAGTCCATAAAGTTTACTGCAATAACTACAGAAAAGATACTTACACGGACTAACATCTCTGTATCTGTTTCGATTTCTGTTTTCTGGATATTTTGCAACTCTATGAGGGTAGTCACTGGATTTATGTCGAATTTCCTTTAAAAGACAAAACATGCAATTTACTTATAGCCAGTAAGCTGATTAAGTTTAGTGTTCTACATATCCTATTTTAAGATTTTCAAGCTTATTGATTAATCAAGGTTATTAATAATTAACATTTTATACCAACCTTTACTACACCTAGTGTTATTTTCACTCAGAAAACACATGTCTTGTTCTTGGCCAAGCTGTTTCCATTTAGATCTTCCCACACTTGGCTAACACCATCAAACTAATGTAAGTGCAATCTGGTAAACAACTGATGCAGCAGGAACAAAGGGGAAAAAAAACCCAGGTATTTATTATGCCTACAGTTTACCTCAGACTTGCATGTTATCTCCCACACTAAGAGACTACATTAGAGAGAACTAACAGCAGCGTACCACTAGCTCCTTTACACCAACAGGCAGCATAAATCCCCACGAAGGAAAATAAACTAGTTAATGATTTTATGGCTGCTGTTAACAGCCACAAGATTATTCTTGGCGATTTGACGGTTCAACCCATATAGCTGTAGTTAAACATGACCCAGTATGAAGGAACAATTCTAGACTCACAAATATCAATGTCAAATCACAGACCACTTCTCCCCAGGCATTCATACAAACCCTTCAATAATCTGCAATCGGAGGATATTCAGACATACTCATTTGCACACAATTTTAAGGAGCACACTGTTCACATACCCTCAATGTTCACTGTTACTTTTTGCCTCCGAGTATACCTTTTCCACAACTTTAGTAAGATACATAGATTTACCTTATGTAGACAACTGAAAACACATCTACAGTGCTAGTGACGAGCAGCCTCCAATGAACTGAACTATTCCTTTGTATATCTGCTGATGCCATCTCAGCAGACATTGTACAATAGAGAATTAACAATATTTTATTTTGAATTCTTCTTTTACTTTTAGATTATGTTGCTGCATGTGATCATTGTGTCCAAAAGAGCATTTAAACTTCTTACAACTAAGCATTCTCTGTCTTCCCACTAACTCCTGTGTCTTCTCAAAATTCCTAGTCTATATATTCCCAGACAACAAAAACAGCCAAAAAGGACTTCAATGGAAATTTAACATATATAAGGAAGATTCATATTTTAGCATTTGGTGTATGACATTACTTAAGTGCAGTGCGAACCTGTAAAGAACCTAAACCACAATATGGAGCAGCAACTGTCACGCACCAGTGTTCTACATATTTGTAAAAAAATCTCTTGATCCATTAAGTTTTTTTTTTAATTTGATACACCACACTGGAACTTGTCTTCTCCTCTAGTTTATATGGCTTACCAACTTTGGGAGCAACCACATGGACACTGAATAAATGCATCAAGTTCCCATGAAATGTAAATTTTGTATTACTCCATAACAGGATGCAACATATTTTGTTTTTAAAAGCACTGGCATCCTCTGTGCAGAGAAACAGACTTGTATTCTGGTCAAGAAACATTAAAATAGCTAGAAACACAACTACAGTGACCGGGGTGGGGGGAGGCTTGCTAAAAAGAATTAAACTGAAGGAACTTAAATGACGAGTTCTAAAATCAGTTTTCCCAGCCATCCATCACAAATCAGAGAAACAAACCAGATGCCAGATGTAACATAAAACTTGCATTGAAAAAAAAAAAGAAAATTCTTATTATTTATTCAGTCATTAATTCAGATTGGATAGGAGCTCCTGGTGTCAGCATACACATTCCCAGCTTCACAGGATTTTACCACAAGTCTTGGCAAACTGATGGAACTGATGGGCAAATATACAAAACCAGTCTCAGCAAGAATAATAAAACAACTCTAATGACCAATTTTTTTTTTTCTTCAGAGAAACTTACACTTCTCAGGGCAAGTATGTATGTTTCTTGTACAACACTGTTATAGGAAAATACCTTCCCCTAAACAAAAACCCAGTGTAAAAACAAGTAGTAAGTGATTACTTTCTACAACTCTGCACTATTTAAAAACATAATTTTTATTTTCTCTTTATGTTTTTACGCAAATCTATATCCCCTTTTTAATATAAAACAAGTACATTAAGTACCCTGAAAAAAATCCTGAGTTTGCAAGACCTACAAAATCAGGGAAACACAGATTACTAATACAAAAAACTTTACTAAAGAATATTTTACAGCATAGCTGTAGTAAAGTTAGGAAGTACATATACAAAGTTTAGATGAGCTTAATACACAATTTTCTCTTCAGTTTACTTCTCCAAGTACAATTAAATAATATTAAAATTATTTGGGAAAGCCAACATGCTCTTTCTGGATATACCAGATGTAATGCATGTGTACTTTTCTACCTCATGAAAAATAACGAATGCAGAATTCTTCCCTTGCAACTTGTATCTCATTAACTTAGCGGACCCCCTCAGAGCGCCCCGTCGCCAGGCCCCACCGGGCCCCCCCTCACAGTGCCCCATCACCGCCCCCTCCGGGGCCCCTTAGCCCCGGGCCTCCTCAGAGAGCCCGGTCACCGCACCACAGCCCCCGCGATGACAGTCCTGCGTGTGGCTGCACTGCCACCGCACTGCCCTGTGTGCTGTCACCTAGGGCTCGCGCATCCGCTGATGCTGCAGGGCTGGGCCTCGGGTGACTTTCGAGAACAACTTCAGACATGAGACGTGAGGAGGAAGGGTCAGCAGCGCGAGGCGCTCACACCGTTCGTTCGAACGCTGATACAATTCTGTCAGTAAGCTGCTGCTGAGGTAGCGTGCTGGCCACCAGGAAAGCCGCGCAGTGAGAAGGCCATGGGAGCACAGTCAGCCAGGGATGATGCCTGGCACGAGCGTTGTCCACATCACACCCGAAGGCCCAAAGTTATGGGCTGGAGAAATGTGGCCACAGTGCTGCGTCAGCTGAGTTCACGTTCTCCTCCGCTACGGTGTTTTATAGAAAACGGTGACAAGGGTCACTCAGCATGATGCAAGAAATATATGTGTGGTCACACAGGTAAGGCAAATATTTTTGGAACAGACTTCTGGTTCTGACATCCAAATACCTGTGATCAGCTGTTGCATTTCCTTCCTGTCCACGGGCTGCAGGGCAGTACAGCGCTCCAAATCCTCTGGCTGACGCGCTCCCTCAAGTCCTGTAATGACAGTTGGTATCTTGTATGCCAGGGGACTGCATGATGTACCTCTGTAGCATACCTGATGGGACGGTATACATCAGCAAGTTCATGGCATGTTTTTCCAGGTAACTCAAGGTAATTTTGCATAAGATTTTCTTGAACTGGGGGTTCAAACTTAGACATTGATATGGGGAGTAGCTTTTCTGGATTTGTCTGTCGGCAAGACTGAGAGAGGCCACGTCTGTAGCTTTGCAGGTGTCCTCCAGGTAATCAATGTGCTGCTATGTGTGATCAGTTATGAAATAAGTAAGACAACATTTGTGAATTATGTTTATGGTTTAGGAGTGCAGAGGAGAATCTAAGAGCCCATCCTCAAGGTAATGATTCTTTTTCATTTAAAATATGTTTCTCTGAATTCATGTTTCAATGTACAAAAAGTGTTCTCAACCTCAGAAAACTGATCTCGCACAGGCTGGGTGTGAGAAAGTAAAGAGATACATAGAAACTGTCTAAATAACAAATTTTAATAAAGAAATTAAAATACACAGTTTCCTCACCGATTTTGGTCTTCAGTAGGCTGTTCTCTGGATGTGAACTTGCTGGCTGATCTGTATTTGTAGCAGTTGTTATTTAACCTTTTTTACCCCTCACTGAAGCTACCTGTAGGTCACATAGCGATGCCCATAAAGCCATCTGACATGGATCGCAGCTACAGGAGGCCCAGTCAGTCCTGTCAGCCCAGGCAACAGAGTGATGCTGCCCAATGACACATTACTTTTTATTTTAATGCAAAGGCCAGGGAAGACTTGGAGGTCGCTGCCCATGGCGTGTGAGATGGTTGTGCTTGAGTCCAAGGACAGCTCTGTCAGCTATGGAGCACCTTGTATGTATCGGCTGCACGAGCCATTGAGACACTGGTGCATTTTGAGAAGGACACAGAAGAAATTGTAGTTTTGATATATAAACCCAGGAACATGTATTCTGCTCTTCCAGCCAGCAGCAGTCATGCATATGTGCTTGTCATTGCTTGTGGTATTCAGGGATGCAGTTCATATTGGGAAAGCAATGTAATTGTGCTCTTAGGAGAGGGAGTTTTATGGTGGTAGCTATGTTTAGAATCTGTAATGCAAATCAGTGCCTAGAGACGGCTCATGGAAAACTAAAGGAAGTGTTTATTAATTGTGATTTACAGCTGGCTTAGAAGAGCAATAACTGGTAAACCAGGGGTTTCTGGAGAAATTGCCATTGTTTGCTTTTTGGTTGTTATTTTTTAACTGTAATATGCTGAAAATGTTGTACCAGTTCTCTGGTTTCGGGGAAGTGAGCCCAGGATAGGCCCAGGACTACAGTTATATAATGGTCTATGGAGGAGAACTGTGTGCACAACATAAACCAAGTACACCCATTAGAAAACTTTCTTTATTCTGTTGCCAATAGTATATTCCAATTCTGTATTAGCTGTGCGTGCAAACCCAGATGAACTACTACATAAACTTTTAAGCACTTGAGACAGTGTGAGACATATGCAAAGCAGGATAGTGGAGCTGCTGGAATGTGTGGTGTATTGTTAGTATTTTCTGTCTCAGTATAAACACAAGTAGTTATTGCAATGTTTTCTTATTAAAATGTCTGATAATTCGAGAAGCCCCTTACTGTGCTGACAGAACAGTCACGCCAGGTTAGTTGGTATCCACAGCAATTCTGATGTCAAAATTGGTTTTGGTGCCCTTGCTCATTCGAATGAAAAAAACTATTCAAGGTAACTTTTAATGGTGTTTGTCCAGTGACCTTGACTGAACAATTAACTTTAGTACCAGACTGGACTGGACTAAGTGCTTATTCCTCTGTGTGTACATTTTTTTTTTTGCGTCATTCACTGGAATTACTTAAGTATCATTTATTGGAAATGATCTGTTTTGTGCTGCTTTTCTGAGAACCATTTTGGATGTTGGTAGATGAAGAACAAATTCTACCCTGAGGTGGTTTTATTCACAAATACACTCCATATCAATCTTGGCTGTTAAGGAAGAAAGCTGTAATGTGCTTAAACTTGCCACGGTGTGAGAGGATGAGAACACATCATTCCTGTTTTATAGCCCAAGAGATAAAGGAGAAGAGGATCCTCCCTTCCCCCACAAACTGGATAGGGCTGGAAACCCAGAAGGGCTGGCAGCTCTTCTGGTATCTGGTAGGGAGCAGGAGAAGCTGAATGAAAAGGTCCAATGGTCAGGATGAAACAGGTTTCATTTATTCTGTGCATTTACAGTGGAGTCTTCCTATTTCAGACTTTTGGGGACTGTATTCCTTGTTCAAGTGAACATTAAAAATCCTATTGCTGAAAGTAAGTGCCAGTGTAAATACCTGTCCTCAGCTATATTACTGATTTCCTTACCCTGCCCAAAACTGTACTCTGGCATAAAACAAAAGAAAAAAAAAAACAACCCTTCAAAATATCTTTAGTAAAATTCAAATCCTTGTAGCAGCAAGAGTAGCAGAAGGGCAAGGGGCCCCTAACAGGTTTGCATTCAGGTAAGGAGGTCTGTCACATCAGTGACAGGTCCACAACAGTGGCATTCTAGTGTCCGATGTCTGTTAAAAAATGGCTGTGTAGTAAAAGTGATGGAATTACAGAAGCTGTAATTATGCTTTGAAGAGAACAGCAACACAGCTGTGCGCAGATTAAATGATTGCCCTAACACTATAGTTTGGAGTTCTGGGTAGAAGAAATTCATGGCCAAGGAAGAAAGGAAAAATTAAGGTCTATAAAGGAAGCCCGTTTTATAGTCCAGAGATTTGTGCCAGTCCATATGGCACTGGAATCCTACGGTGAAGCTGAAATAAATGTGGAGTGTGAAACAGCAACAGCAACAGAAACAGCAGGCAGAGGTGCTGTCACAACTGAACAGTAGCTAGCAGGAAAGGCAGCGAGCCAGGACGTTTGGTGGGGAGGACGACTTCAGGCTCGGCTGCAGGCAGCCCTTCCAGCAACATAAGCTGGGGTGTGCAGTCAGCCACAAAACCCAGAGCCTCTGAGTCAGTACAGGGGGTGTGGGGGGACAGCTGCAGGAAGAGGAGAGGAGCCAGTTGCCAAGAGAAAGACAACTCCAAGTTATTATTTTTATTGCTTGTAGAGAGGATTTTGTGTGTTGGGGATGGTTTGTGTACGTTACTTGATTTTCCGTCCCTCTTTCCTTTTCACCCCTAGCTACAGTGACATTTATTAAAATCATAGTTTGCAAGTGAGATAGTCTAATTCAGTGAGCGTCCAGGGTGGCTTGATCTCATTCCACGTTCTTCGTTAGAAGGTAATTTTTTACTAGAACCGGCATCTACGGAACCTGCCTATAGCTAGCATAAAGTTTTCACATTGGAAGTTCACTGAGACTTGTATTTGTTTGAAGATCACTGGTTTATTAGATTTTAAAATTGTTTTCCTCACTGACTGAATGTTCCATGCTTAGACCATTTCTAATCTCACAATTACTATTTCAAAGCATCACTTTACATTACTGTATAATGGTTAAAGAAGTGTCTAAACTGCAGTTCTGGAAACATCTTTATGTTGCCTGGTGAATCTTTAATTCACATTCTCTCATAATTTTGAAATCATGTTATCAATATCTTGTAACTTGCCTATAGCACAGATTTTGTATTTTAGTGGCTCCATGCTTGGTTATATGTATTTTCATCTATATTCGAGATTATCTTCAAAGTTACAAAATTAAGGGCTTTCTCTGAATTACACCTGAAAAGGTCACGATGCACGACTCATACCACAGTTATTTGCTAAGAGAAGTTCTTGTAAGAAAATACTGTTTTGGCAGAAGAATACTTTGTATTGAGGAGTATCGGTAAATGTTTCTGTTACAAATTTGAGTTCTCAATTTTATGTTCCAGTTTTCTTTGGGTTTCCCAGCATCTGAACAAAGCAATTATGACTATTTTAATGGGTGTAGAAATCTTCAAATTGTGTTTGCCTCCTCCCCCCCCCAATAGTTTGAAATAAAGTAATAAAATCTTTTTGGCAATGTGATTTAGGATTGTAATCCATTTTGTAATTCATGTTTCTGCATTAGACAACCTGAAGTGCCAATAACAGGAAAGAGTTTTCTTTTACTTCTAGCCATAATAATGATTTAAAACATCTTATTGTTACCAACTTCATAGAAACTTAAATTTACTATGTGGTGGTGAGCCTTTAGCATATATTAGAGTAATTATTTGTGTCTTTCCTATGCTAGCAGAGGTAGATCTGTGCAAGATTTGTGCTATCATTGCCTGTTTTTAAGTTGACATTTATATATCTGATTTCATACAATTTCCCGTATAAGCTTGTCCTATTGAGATAATCAGCAGCCCTGTAGGAGCCACATTCTCTGAGTCACTGTTTTGATGGCAGGGTTCCATGAGTGTGTGGCTAGTTCTGTCTGCTGAGATGTCCTTTGGTATGTTATATAGAGCAAGGTGTTCACGCTTCTGTCACTGTGTAAAGGCACGGAATCTTGTAAGGACCATGGAATACTAGATAAGAATTTGCATAGCTACATTTACTTGGCAAGGCAAGATGGAAATAATCGATGCACCTCTCCTTTTACACTCAAAGTAAATCAGAAAGCAAGGAGGAAAATAGATTTTGCCTGTAGGTGGCAAAGAGCCATGTAGAAATTGTTAGTTTTTCGGGCAGTATGACTTCCCCAAAACAACAAAAAATTAGTAGTGCATGTAAAATTATTTGCCTATTTTCTTTGATACTGTCTCTTATAAAAATGGCTTTGAAACTAGTCTACCAAAGTAAGGAGTCTTAAAAAAAAATCTGTTTTGCATAACATGTATATTACAGTTTCTGAATGTATGTTTTCTTTGGTCTAGACTTTTAAAACCTCTAATTCATACCCTTATGGCATACGAATTGCTGTCACTGCTAAACCAATTTGTTTGTTTTCTCAAAGAAAATAAAAACTGAGTGTAATATACTGAAAGAAGGATCCATAACACAAGTTTTCCAATTGGAATGTCATCAAAGTCTTTAACATTTTATTTTAGCCAGTGGAACAGATCCAGCAGCTCAAGCCATGACACTACCACTTACTGGAATTATCAACCCGGGGAGAAAAGTGCCCTTGTACAGAACGTGTCCAGTATCAAAATGGATGTAGGAAATTTTCTGCGTCTTTTTGAATTTT